TTGTTTGGGGTACTTGGAAAAAATCCTCAGCAACAATCTTTAGTGTCAGGCCCTACCTTCTCCATTTGCCTGAGGATAAAACCACATGAACTAGATGTTTATTACTGGTTTGGGATGTCATTTTTACAGAGAAATCAATTTCTGCAAAAGCTTCCATTTTCTAAGCCCTACAGAGCAGAAAATCATCTATTTTTCTTTGTTCTCATTTCATACCTCATTTGATTTCACTTCATGCATGTATTTATCACTCTTTATTAGCATCTATACATCGTAGAGGTCTGTCACTTACTTCTTCCTTGCCTCAAATATTTCTTCTCTAAGAGATTAGAGGAAGGCATATACTTAAAGTTTCTGTGTTGTTTTCGATAATGAAATAAAGACCCACATGCTGTGTCATCTCTATTTCCCATTTATTGATTCATTGAAGAAATATTCAGAGTATCTGCAGTGTATAGGGGGCTGTTCTACGCCCTGCGGATACAGTCCCTACAATGAAATGCTCTGAGATAAACAGGGGATGGAGAAAAAATAAACTGGACTATTGCCTGTCCTGCCCGCTTCCCCTCTGCGTACAACACGCTCCCACTCTGTGGTGGGCTGGCTTCTGCCTCTCTTGCAGTATCCAGCTAAGTCATCACATCTGTCCTCACGATCTCTGATCCTCCCAGGTGGTTGGATTGTGTGCCTTGCAATTATCATGCTCTTCACTTTGCTTCATTCTGGGACTTTGTTATTAGACTATGATTTATGTCCAGTACCTATCATAGTAACTGACATTAACAGGCATTCAATGGATGTTTATTGAATGGTTAACATATAAAGTAGATAATTAAAATACATTTCAGGTCTGTATATACTGTTAGTAATATTAGAAAGGTGAAAAATGTTTAAAAAAAATTTTTAAGGAAAAACCCAGAAGCTTTTTCAGTAATTGTTTTAACCACCTTGTAAGTTGCCTTAAGCTTTGTTCATGTTGTTGTGTGTATGTGTGCAAGGCAGGTGGGAGGGAGAGGTAGATTTGTTTCTTTAGAAAAAATAAAGGAAAACATTAACTGATGGGGAAAATGTGTATTTTCTGGGTTTAAATTATCTCATTTAATTCTTAAAAGCCTTCTAGTGAGTTACTATTTTATCCGCTTTCCATACCTGTGGAGACCAAAGTTGTAGCAGTGGTAATGTGTGCAAGATGGGATTCAAGTGGAATTCAAAGGCAGTGCTCTTGGCTGATGTTCCTAAGCTCCTACACATGGTCTCCTGTTGTGAGATGTTAAACTGAGTCCACTCCAACCCCATCTTTGTGGAGTCCCTCCATTGGTCCTGAAACCAGGCTCTTAGGAATCTTTTTGGCAGTGTTTAATTCTTTTGAGATTTATGTCATCCTCTTCCTGAAGTCTGTCTGTCCACCTCGGGTCACGTGAAAATGATTTGAATCTGGAATGGCTCTTACTGTGTGTCAGGGAAGCTCTTATAGTTCCTGGCAGTAGGGCTGCTCTTGGGATACCTGCCAAGATTGTACCTGCTGATTATACAAGCCAAGAACAACAGCAAGGATTAGCATGGCCAATTAGTACGTGTGCCTTTGTGGTTTATTGATTTCCCAGAATGGGAAGAAAATCCACTTATTCTTTTCCGTTATGGTCAGGTGTAGTTGGGTAGTAGTGAATAAAGTAAGCTGATACTGGGCTAGAGTAATTGTATCAGGTAATTAAATTTGCTATGAATGGTTGATTTAAAGTGCTCATTTCATTTACTTTTTATAACTTACTCCATTTTTAAATTACAGTTGGAAGAAAATTTATATATTTATTAAATGTAAACATTAAAAAAAATTTTTCCTAATTTGTCTCATGTGCTCAAAGAGCTGAAAACAAGGTGTGTTTTAAGGGAACTAGTTGGTTTTCCAAATCATTCAGGAGCTGTCGTGGTTGGCGTGCAACGTTCGTTCAACCCTAGATAATTACTGTCAAACGGTCGTGGTCATCCTGCTGCTCTTGCCAGTTTAGGAACGGAAGTACGTTCTGGTTCTGACTATTAAACTGAAAGGGAAGAATGGTGAGAAGTTCCAGGAGGGATTTCCTCAAGCCCTAAGAGAAGCAGAACAAGAGGTGGTCCTTTGCTTCTGGACCTTATCTTGTCTGAAAGAGGAGCTTGCAGCTGGGAGAGCCCGGATTGCCACCCTGAAGACGAAGCCAGGGCTGAGAGCCAGCCAACCTGCTGTTAAATAATAAACTTCCTTCTTGCTCAAGCCAGTGTGAGTTGGTGTTTTGTTGTTTGCAGCCACATCAGCATCAGAACCGATACATTCATTTCATAACCTGATTTTGAAGATTTGTTTCAGAGCTGTATCCTTGCCATGTGTACCTCATAATAAATCCAATTTGAAAACCTTTCCTTTGCCTTATTTTATTTATTTTTCTTGTTTAATTTTTGTTTACTTTTTGCCTAAAATCTTGCATGAGACATGGATTTACCACTATTTTCTGGGGAATATTTCATGGATTCATGGATTAAAATTCTGTTACTTGGGTAACAGAAAAAATTTTGGAAACATCACAGTAAAAGCTTCCACATGGGTTATCAAAACAATAAGAATTATTCTAAAATGTGTTTTCGTTAAATATTAGGAAGTTTATAAGGGTCTGGGGAAAGAGATGTGTTAATGTGATCTTCAGCTTCTTTGAAGTTTACAAAGTATTTTTGCACTGATTTCACCTCTGGAAAATAGCTGTGACCAGGTATTAGTACATTTACAATTTAGCTGCTGCTTTGGACAGAAAAGAAAGCTATTCAATATTTGCTCTTGTTATGCGCTTTTGCTTTCTCTTGTTGTTTTTCACGTTTTACAATGTCAATTTTAGAGACAAATAACTCCCAGCTGATTTAGAGAAAGCTGTATATTAGGGGCATTGTGGGTCTGAATATTGATGTACTAGTTGTTTTCAAGCACTTTTAGGATCAAAATTTTTTTCAAATGAAACTTTTCTCAGAATCCAGTAAGAACGGGATTTTCAGGCAGCTTAAATCTTTGTTTGATGGGGGAATATTTAACTGCTTATTGAACCCATGGAGCACAGTTTTGAAAGCCTGCTACAGATGGGATTAGTGAAGAATGACCCTGTAATTTTTCATCCAAACTGAGATGCTTTTGAGAGTGAAGTCATTATACCAGGACAAAAGACAAACCAGACTGTCCGGGCAAATTAGGCTTGTGGTACTGAAATGGTGGATGCTGCTAGAACACAAATAGGCATCTCGTTGGTAAATGGTAGCAGGGAAATGGATGTGAGTCCGCCTTGCCTCCTCTACAGCCCTAAGCCTCGCTGGTGCAGCTATAGCCTTGGCCCTGCAGAGAGTCTGTAGCCCTTTAAAGAGCAGAGCAGTCACACACGGGGTGTGCTCAGCCCTTTTGCAGCAGTTTATTGAGCACCTGCTATGTACCAGGTGTTTTCTGAGATGCTGAGAGCACAAAGATAAATGACTTGATTCTGAAGACTCAAAGTTTAGCCTGTTCATTCAGCAAAACTTGGCCATAAGTCCATACCTGTTCCAGTAACAGTTAAGAGACGTAACCATGGCTTATTGAAGTGGAAAAGGGCATGGGAATTTACAGCCCTGAATTTGGAATTTGAAATGAGATGTTTTAATAAGCCTTCATCCCTTACCCCCATGCCCTGAAAGTGAACTACAGTTAGGATCTGTGCCTATTTGTGTATGCTTTCTCAGGAGTCTGTAGTTAGGAGTAGAACACGACTGTATGTATTGGTGTTTGTTTTCTAACGTGAGGTTTTTTGGGTAAGTCGTATCAGAAATAACTAACTAGAGGAAATATAAATGATGAGGTGGGATCCTGTGAATCTGTTTCAGTGTCTTTTTCGGATTTGGGAGAGGCTGGTGGGAGGGTGTTTTTGTCAGTGGGAGAAAAATGAAGAGATAAAGAAAAGGGAACAATAAGGAAAATATAAAGAACCAAAACAGAAGAGTAAGTGACATTGAAATGAGGATTTTTTCCAGACTGCAATAGTATATCTCCAATGAGTTGTGTAAAGCTGCTTAAGATTAGAAAAGACTTCTCAGTTCTGTCCTGACCTTTTCATTCCAGCTATTGACATGCAAACACATGCTCTTTAGTAGCTACTCTTGGTACAAGATTCTCAGGTGGGGTAGCAAAGAGCCCAGGGTTTGGTAAATGGAATTGTCAGGCTCATGGCGGTCTAATTTAGTTTTCTAAATAGTTGTATTTAATTGAGGATGTATTTTAATGTGCTACATATAAAATATCAAAGAACTAGCAGTATAATAGATTTTAGACCAGCATTGACTTTAAAAATCATCTTTCATGTTAATTTACCCTGATGTCTTATTTTCCTTAAGACAAAAAAGGAAAAACATAACTTTTTTCCGTATTTTTTATGGAATAATATTCCTCATAAATGTTACCTTTAGAAGATTGTACATAGTGACTTACGTATTATTTCCTCTCATATTTAACTATAGTTTTCAAGAATTATATATAAATCAAAATATGGAGTGCATGCAAATAACGGTAGAAGGTTCCAGAGTATCTTAATTGTCTTATTGCTGGATTCAGAGCCCAAGAGTTAGAAGTTAATTAGTCACTTACGAACACGAGAGGAGATTGAACTCATACTGAATTTCTTTTGGCAAGTTCAGATACGACTTTTTATTTTATTTTGCTTATTTTGGTGACTATATTTTAGAGATTGGTGAATATTCAAACAATGATTTATTATTATTTTTTAAATGAAAAGTTAATTTAGGCAAAGAGATGTTAAAGGCCCAGATGAAGTTAAAGAACAAACTTTTCCTACTTCAGTTTTTAAGCGTATCAACATTTTCATGTAATATAAAGTCTTGGAAACTTTGAATTACTGGCAGTATTGATGAAGTGTTTGGAAACATTATTTTACTTGGTTTAACATGTCAAAATTTTTTTAAAAAAGAAAGAAAACCTTAAGTTAACTTTGTGAATAAAAATGCAGGCTTTAAAGAAAGATCTGCTTCAAAGCCAACAGTCCCACCAGAAGAGGCTGAGCCGTACCCTTGGCTGGAGGATCAGGTTCTGGAGGGGCCAGGTAAGCTTTCCTCTAATTCTGACTGGATGCACCTCAGCTGCCAGGTATCCCAGGTAGCAGCTTCCACAGTCATGTTTTACCCATAATTTTGTTTCACAATGTTTGCAGAATAATGAAGTGCTTTCTCTTCTTGTCTTCTGAAATTTTATAGTGAACTCTATTCTTTTCTAGAAAAAGTTTATACAGGATCGTTTCAATTTTTGAGATCAAGAATCCAAGGCACAGAGGAGGTTTCTCCTTGTCTGAACATAGTTAGAAACATTGTGAGCTAAATGCTATGTTTCTTGATTCCAAGTCCAGGACTACTGTGCCGTATTACATTGAAAGTAAAATTACACACGTACTGTACACTAGTTTTGTCACATTATTTAATAGAGTAGGTCTACTGTGTTTCCAGTCTTTTTAATGAGTCTCCTGTCTACAACAAAAGACTTCTTACTTAGGCCTCTGTGTGATCCTCTGTGAAGCCTGTTTTATATCTGCATGAATTCATAGCTCATTTCAAGTATTTCCTCAGTCACTCAAGGGCCTGTGACCCATAGGATGAAAACTAAAGTCTCTTAATAAATTGGTAAATGAAATTTGGTTCCATTACTATCATTTCCTATTCGTGCTTAGATTTTTGTTGCAAAGTACTATTTAATTTCTGTACATTTTTCATTTACCCAGTAGTACTCAAAAATTTGGTTTCATTTTGCCACCTATTGGAAGTGTTAGGTATGACACTGCATATTTACTGGCAACTTTATTTGAGTCCAGATGGTATCAATACTTGGGCTGACTTTATCACTAGGTACTGGTGAATACTGTTTGATTTACCTTCCTTCCTTTTCATAAAAATCAATATGTTGCTCTTATTTTTTGTTCTTGCTCAAATAATCCCAGCAGAATTTCCTGTCTCTCTCCCATTCCTGTAGAATTGCTGTAATCATACCGTGGCTTCAGAGCAAGAGTGATTTTTTTCTTTCTTTTTTTTTAAAGTTTTATAATTTGAATGTATATTTGGATTTAGCACCTCAGTTTTACTTTGTACTAGATTAATCTATAATTTTAAAAAATCTTGGTTTTCAAAGCTGGTACTTACTCCGAAATGTACTATTTGCTTTCTCTCCTCCTTTTTTTATTCTTTGTTCATATTACTCTTTGCATATTACTGATAACTTGTCCTCCTAAGTCCTTCAGTTTGTTATCACCTCATATCCTTTTCAACTTCTTGGTGATATTGATTTAGTTTAAATGTTGCCTTCTCAACCTTCCTCTTACCTAGGTCTTTACCTTCTGTCTTCTCTGACTACCCACCTATTCTATAAACAGAGGTACATATCTTTCATTAAAACACAATGAAATAACCACCCCTTTGATCCCCACAGTTCTCTCCATCTGCCTTCCAGTCTCTCTCCTTGTTGTACTAGCTACACTTTTGAAAGAAGAATTTGCAGTTGCTTTTTTGCCTTATTTACACTTAGTCTTTAACTCACTGCAGCCTGGGTGGTTTTTTTTTTTTTTTGCCTTTACTCAACTTCCCCAGGGGAAAGGAGGGCATCAGAGACTCGTGGAAAGATTACACAGCATGGTGCAGTCACCAAGTTCTAAGCCAGTGCTGGTAGTAGATGATTTTAGAGAGGCATGTGAAGGCTAGATTGTGGAGGTCTTGCATTTCCTTCTGGGGCTTCAAGGGACTTAGATTTTCGTCTGTTCAGGCAAAGGAAACCATTAAAGGGTTTAAGCAGAGGAACAGAGTGCCAATCTCTGCTTCTCTTTACTCACATTATATTTTCTGTGGCTGGTGCTGTCAGCAGTTGTAAAACTGGGAACTCTGCTAGGAAGCTATCGTGGGCATTGTGTGAGGGAAGAACAGAGATTGGGAAGGTCTCCTATAATTCTGTGAGAATATGTATAAAAGTAGTTTGTGAAATATAAACATCTATAAAAATAGAAGGCACTCTGTGCTTTAGAAATGGTTTTGTAGTATAATTAGCATAGTGGAGTCCTACACTCTTCGATCTGAAGTTCAGATTAACTTACTCTGTTTTTGTCACTGAAGGTTAGTTTGTCAGTATAACTGATGTCGTTGGCATTATCTCATTTGATGGCATCCATGATACTAAGTCTGGTGCTGCTTCTCTTTAGTGAACATAGGTGATGTCTGTTAGACAGAAAATTTATAATAGTGTCAATGTAATTATACCTTCTTGTTTGTTGTATGATATTGCAATAAGCCTGAGAATCCGATAAGCACCACAGTGTAGTCGCACTGTCATTACTAATGTTGTCCACGTCTGTAATTTACATTATGACAGATGTGACTGTCAGATGAGGTTCTCCAAAGCTGAGAGGATTGTCTTGTAAGGTCTTCTATTCGTGCTTCCTGACACCTTCTGGGAACAGGCAGCCAACCATCCCAGCCGTCATACCAGCCAGGGAGCCCTTTCTTCTGACTATTGGGAAAGACAGTGGTTGGCCGTGTACTTTCATTTCATTAACCTCTTCCTCCACGTTTTATCTTTATTTCCCACTACTTACTTTTCCGAAAGCGTTGCCCTTCCCATTTGCTTTTGCTGTCGTTAGTGTGAATTTTGTTAACTAGAAACTGAAATAATTTTGCTCTGAGGTTTTTTGTTTTTTTTTAAAGAGAAATCTGAACCCGAGTTAGTTTCCTGTGTTTTAAAATCTTATGAAGTTGTTTAGCATTTATATCTGCTGTCAAAATAAACCCAACTTTAAATATCTACCGAATTTGCCAACATAAAAAAAAGGGCTAAGCTGATAGGAAAAGGGTACATAGTTGATTAGTCCAATATAGTCATCTTAATGTGTATAGGTGGAGGCCATATTTCATGTTCTACACTAATGTTCAGATTTTTTCTACTTAGTTATGTTTTCATTATTTTAGGGCCTCAGAATATTGAGGATGAAGTGCAAGGACAAGTTCAGTCACTTCTTGACGAAACGGTGTGCGCAGAACATGGCATGAAGTAAAACCTGTGTTTCGTGCATTACTAAAATAATGGTTAATTACCTTAAATGACTTGGACATTATTTTGAAATTTAAATAATAGTTAAGTGGGCTTTTAAAAAAGCTCCTGGAGGACAAGTATTTCTAAAATAACACTACACTCATTTTATTTTACCCCATTTTATTGTTAAGAGAATAAGCAAACAGAGACCAGTGATACATCAAGAACAAATACATCAGCAACTGGGAGGAGGGGAATAGAACAGAACCAAGCCAGCTGTAATGGGCTCTCCTGGAGCTGTCTTCAGCCCTCAAATTAAACTGAATGCTTGGGTGGCCACCAAAGCAAAAAAGGGGAAACTTTAAATTAGGTAGGTCATATTACTAGAGAAGAAGTAAACATGCTATTTACTTAAAGAATCTAAAAAGTTTCTTAAGTTCTGTACAGAGAATATTAAGTGATACTATAGAAACCAGTGTTTTTAAGATTTTATAAGACTGTTTCTTGAAGCATCTATTGATAAAAGCACAGAATCTAACCCCAAAATGTAACAGAAGGATTTTGAAGAGGGCAGAACACATGGTATCCTGATACTTCCATGGTTTGGTGTGAGCTGAAGGTAGTCCTAGAGGAAAAAATAATGTTTCCTAAAAACAAACAGAATGCCCTATCATTTAACTTGGGCTTTTGCAGGCCAGCTAAAGTATCTTACTCAGTCTTAAGTATTTTGGGGTTAAATGTAAAGCATCCCATCCAGCTCCATCTGTGCTCTTTTGGGGAGATCAGCTTTGGCTGCATTGTAGGTTTTTGCCCTGGGCTGCTAGGGGTCTAGGAGCCTGTGTCCTTTTATTACCAGTTTCTTCTCAGCTAGAAAAGCTACCTCACCTGAGCATATCTGCCTGTATAAGCAAACGCAGGCTTTCCCTTCCTATCTTTTTAAAATTTTTAATTTTAACCTAACACAAGGATGATGCAATCTCAATACATGATTGATTTCAATATGTTGAGGTAAGTGCTGTGATGGTGAAACACGTGATGCTATGTGGGGTTAGCAGAGGCTTCCTGGAGAAAATGACACACTGATTGAGGAGCTGGAGAATGGTGTAGTGCTTTGCCAATTGAATGCTATTAGTAAAGAGTAATGTTTAAGCAAAGGGCGTGGCATGTGTGAAAGTCCAGAGGTCAAAAGGGTCTGAACGGAGGTGGAGAGATGAAGGGAAGGGTATTTTTACTTGATTCTAAGAGGAGTTGGAACCATTGGAGGGTGTGAAGGAGTGTTGTGTATTCTGTCAGTGTGAAAAATAAGGTGAAGGAGATGTCAGCAGGGAGATCAGATGGGAGGGGAGGTGGTACCGGTGACCCAAGTGAGTCGAGATGGTTGGTCAAGCTAAATTTCACCAGAGGTTCCAAAGGTAGGGGAAGAAGGAAGTGAAGGATGTGGTAGACATTTAGGTGGGTGGGTGCAGGATGCCAGACAGAGGAGAGAGGAATCCAGGCCAGCATTGGATTGTGTTCCTTGGACCTCTTCTTTATCAAGACTTTCTCCTTAGAAAATCACAGGCCATGACTTTAAATATTATTTAAATATTAAATATTGCTCCTGAATATATATCTACAGCCCTCATCGCTCATCTAAGCTCCTGGATTGTCTAACTGCATATTCTTATCTCTATTTGTATGTTTTATGGGGATCTCAGACTTAAAATGTCCCTAAAACTGAATTCTTGATTCCTCTCCATCTCACAGCTCGCCTGCTCACCTGCAAAAATGTTTTATTCTAGTCTTTAGTTAATGGTCTCCCTATCCACTCAGTTGCTTAAGCTATAGCATCCTGGGAGTTTCCCTTGATTTCTCTCTCCTCTTCTCCCCTCCTATGTAATCCATCAGCCAATCCCTTCAGCTTTGCCTCCAAAACGTATTTTGACTTCTGCCGTGTGTCGGCTACCGCCATCCCCTCTTCCCATCCACTTGGGCCCCTGTTTCCATCTTTGCTCCTCTGCACCCCCCGTTTGATGTGGCCGAGCCCACTGTGCCTTGTCTGGGCCTGGTCTCTCTCTCCCCTTGGTCACTTTTCTCTAGCTCAACTGGCCTTGCCTTTTTTCTTGGTCATTGACAGACCTGTCCCTACCGTGGGGCCCTTAACTTGCTCTCTCTTCCGTTAGTGTGTGCGTGTGTGTGTTCTAGTCTTCACATCTTTATCAGACCAAACTTGGCCTCCCTGACACCGTCTCTAGAGTAGACTCTCTGTCCCTGTTATTCTGTATCTCACTGTCAGGTTTGGGTCCTGCAGTTGCATTTATAAGCTGTGTGGCTTTCGTCAAGTTCCTCGAGCCCCTCATCCTTCAAAGTGGGATAATTGCTACCTCATAGGGTCGGTGCAGCAGCTGCAAGAAGGCGTGGCAGTGCCTCCGGTGAGGTCTAGCAAACGCTCAGGAGACTGTTTTCCTCACGGCAGGCTGTCCCTGGGCCGTGGAGACTCAGACAGTGTACGGTGCTCAGTTGGTTTCCCTGTGAGAGCAGGGGCTTCCATTGAGTAGATGGCTGAAAGAGCTCAGTCCCACTCACATAAAAACTGTAAAATTAGACTGAGTAAGTGAGAGTAAGGGAAAAGGAACATGGCAAGAAGAAAAGAAGAAAAAGAGTTGTACGGTTAGTGACAGGAAAAATTGGTGATTGGTTTGCTGAGAAGCAGAAAATCTCAAATGAGGAGAAACAAGATAGCAGGCTGTGATGAGAAGACAGAAGACAAATAGTATCAACAGAAAAGGGCCTAATAGTCCAGTAACACCTGAGAACATCACTGGGCCACCCCAGAAGTAAGGTGACTAAGGACTCTGTCCTGCAGTGTGGCGGGGGGGTAGCTCAGGAGCAGCAGAAGTGGTAGTATTGTCATTACTGGGATGATGATGGTAAAAATATTAACGACTGCAGAAGCAGCCCAGCAACAGTAAAACCTAAATACTTATTATGGGCCAGGCTTTTTTCTAAGTGCTTCAGTCCTCACAACGATGCTGTGAGTAGGTACTCTTCTTATTTCTTTTTTATGGAAGAGAAATCTTAGGCACAGAGTCATTAAGTAACTCTCCGAGGGTCACACAGAGTCATTAAGTAACTCTCCCAGGGTCACACAGCTGGTCTAGGGACAGACCTAGATCTGGAGTCAGATATTCCAGATCGCACACTCCTAGAGCAATACTGCACTGCACACCTAAGTCTAGTTCCCTTGAGTTCCCTCGTTTAAGTGCTACATCCAGAGCATCCCCTGCTTGAGGCCATGGCAAGTTACTACTGGGAGAATGTCTTACACCACGGTGACAAGCTAACCCATGTGGCAGTGGAGTTAGGCAGCATGTCCAACGTCTACACAAGAGAAGCAGAATGGTTCAGTGTATCGTGAAAGTCTCAGAAGAGAAAATGAGCATCTTAGCATAACTTAAAGGCTAAACATAGGAACCTTTAGAAGCAAAGTATAATGCAGCTGAACCAATGCGGATGACCGGGCATATGGTTTAGCTGGTAGCCTGATGTTCTTTGTAATAGAATATTTGCAGAGTTCCTTAAGGTTGTTACATGGAATTTTACATCAGTTCTCAGTGGAAGGTCGCAAGGTGACCTTTCCTCTGACCTAGTAATAATTGAAGAGGCAAATGTAGTAAGAATTCTGAATTCATTTATTCACTTATTAAATACATATTGAGAACTTACTATGGCTAGTCATGGCCCCAGGGGCTGGGCATACAGAGTCACCAAAATATGTGAGACCCCTGTCCTTGGTGAGTTTATGTTCTAGTGAGAGAAGACCTGTTACCCCCCTCAGGTGGACTAGTCCTTGGCCGGAGAGAGAACAGAGTTCAGCATGTGCAGCGGCCCAGAAAAGGGGCAGGGCAGGGCATGCCGAGTAGCTGAAGTGGGTATGTGGCAGCCTTTCAGATGGGGCGTCTGTGTCTATGTGGGCTGCTGCCTGGGGCCCTTGCTATAGACCTGTGTCACTTTGTTCATTATCATTGTTCAAGGAGAGGACCTGCACCAAGAACAGGATGAACCAGCAGGAGACCTACAGCCCAAAGATGGTATCTTTGCAGGAAGTGATACAGATGACAGATATGAACCTGTGGGGACTGGAGCAGTGCATGAAGGTAGAACACATTTTTTTGGTTTCAGAATAAAACACAATAGGTAATTTGTAATTACGATTATTGAAGTTTTCTTAAACACCTTTAAAACCAATATTTAGCTTTTATCTAAAGTTTTTTGTTTTTTTATAAATTAATTTATTCATTCATTTTTGGCTGTGTTGGGTCTTCATTTCTATGCGTGGGCTTTCTCTAGTCGCGGCAAGCGAGGGCTACTCTCTAGTTGGGGTGCTCAGGCTTCTTAATTGTGGTGGCTTCTGCTGCAGTGGACATGGGCTCTAGGGCTTGTGGGCTTCAGTAGTTGTGGCTCATGGGATCTAGAGCCCAGGCTCAGTAGTTATGGCACATGGGCTTAGTTGTTCTGCGGCATGTGGGATCCTCCCGGACCAGGACTTGAACCTGTGTCCCTTGCATTGGCAGGTGGATTCTTAACCACTACGCCACCAGGGAATTCCCTAAAGTTTTTTTTTTTTAAGTTGAAGCCGAAAACTTCAGTTAAAATCAGTCTTTTCCCTAAAATAAATAGTTATCCCAAGTTTTTAATTCAAAGTACGTTAGGGGAAATTCTAAGGATATATACATTTCTTATAGGATGTAAGTGAAATCCTTCAGCACATTTACTGTACTGTCCTTCCTAGAGTACCATTTGTTGTAAGAAATTCAAACAGCTGATGAAATATTGACCTTGATAATCTATCACAGGCTCTTGTTCTAAAATAAACTCTATAACTACAGCGGGTAGAATACAGTTCATAGCCTAGGCATTGGCAAACTTTTTCTGTAAACTGCCAGCCGGTCAATATCTTCGGCTTTGCGGACCATGCAACCTCTGTCCCAACTACTCATCTCTGCTACCACGGTGCAAAAGCAGCACTGGACAGTGCCTAATTGGATAAGTGTAGCCGTGTTCCAGTAAAATTTTAATTAGAAAGTCAGGAGGCAGGCCCAATGTAGACTACATGTGGACCATAGTTTGCTGACATCTGTGCATATCAATATTTTAAATTAAATGCTGGTTATTTAAATATCAGTTGAGTAGTTTACTTTGTATTATTTGTAGGCAATAGGCAAGTCAGAATTATTACTATTCACTACTGACATATAGAAAAATTTTTATTCGTATACTTATTGCTCTGCTCTGCTTTAATGTGAGGCTACCGTGATTATTTGGAGCCCTGCTGAATTAAGTCCACATGCTTTGTTCTTTTGGTATCTATTCTCTGTACTTTTTTCTTAAAGTAGTCCTTTAAAACCTTAGTGGTTTTAAGCCACAAATTTTGTACTCTGACTGATTTTTGTCATTTTATTTAAAATATATAAATGATATCATTTTATACTTAACATGGGTACTAAGGGAACCTTGTTTATTTAAGAGGGATGTTGTATTTCTAAAGAGTGATACAGGAAAACAAGCCTATGCTGAAACCAGGGGGAGTGGTTCGTGGCGCCAACACAAAGTGAACAAGTTACACGATGCACCCCACTGTGTAGTAATCGTCAGAGTCTGTAAGACGCATGTAACAACACAGCGTCACCGGCTGCAGAGGGTCTAGACTGGAGGTGCCTGGTAGGGTTCAAGGGTTAGCTCAGCCTAAGTTGAGTTCAGAGAGCCAGACAGAATGGTAAGAAACAGGCGGTAGATCGGATCTGCAGCGCTAGTCAAGGTAGGAAGGTCTGGAGCCATAGCATCGTGGATTCAGAGAGACAACCTCTTATGAACATGATCCACTAAGATGGGCTGGTATCCCACCACACCACTTCAGATCCTGGCTGCATTTTAGTACCCCCCGGGGAGCTTTTAAAAGAATTCCGGTGACCCACCCTGATAAAGTGAATCAGAGTGTTTGGGGTATGGGGCCCCCAAAATGAATGATTGTAAAAGCTCCCCAGGGGGTAGATAATTGCTGCCAGCGTTGAGCCCAGGTACGGTTGGGCTGTTTCCTGTCTCCTGGGCCTCCCCTCACTTCCTGCTCTGCTGTGTCTGCATGGGTTAAAGCTTGTGCTCAGAGCCAGTGGGAATCAGGCAGAGCACACAGGACTCGTCCCGGCCATGTAAGAATTGAGAAGTCAGGTAGCCTCAGAAAATGCAGTTGGTAAATTGTTGCAAGGACTATTTTAAAGCATAAACATTATGGAAATGTTAAGTATGTCTACTTCTCACAATATTTAATATATTGGGGAACTACTTGAGAAGGAAACAGCTCCTAATTTATGAATGAATGTATTTCCAAAAGCTTATATTGATGCCTGTTGTTGAGAAAATGCACTTTTCCATAGAAATAACGTTAAAAGTGATGGTTTGGTTTCCATACGAACCTACAGAATTGTATATAATGCATAATTTGGGGGAGAAAATGTAAGTTCAGAATGCTTTTGAACTCGTGTTTGATTCCAGTTCGATTGTGCATTGAAAATAGGCATTTACAGGGCTTCCCTGGTGGCGCAGTGGTTGAGAGTCCGCCTGCCGATGCAGGGGACACGGGTTCGTGCCCCGGTCTGGGAAGATCCCACCTGCCGCGGAGCGGCTGGGCCCGTGAGCCATGGCTGCTGAGCCTGCGCGTCGGAGCCTGTGCTCCGCAACGGGAGAGGCCACAACAGTGAGAGGCCTGCGTACCACAAAAAAAAAAAAAAGAAAAATAGGCATTTACAGACTAGCTTTTGAACTTTAGACCTTTGGTTATCATGCATATCATGATTTCTATGGGAAAAACATTTCTAAGTTCTGAGTAGGAATGCTAATGAAATGATTTCCACAATTCCCTGGAATCTCTTGCTGTTTCCCATCTTCAGCCAGGATAGCTCAGGAAGATTGACAGTTGCTCAGAATTTTGGTGTCCTAGATGCTGCTTACACAAAAAATTTCAGTTAAGACCCTCAAAGAATCTGAAACATAAGGCATTTGATATTTTTGAGGCTAGGAGTTATAGACTGGGAGTAGGAAGAAACACTTCTAAAAAGTTCATAAATTGAAGAAATCTTATTTTCTGACCTAATTTTTAATTGGGACATAGATTCAGTTTGAACATAAAAGTTGCTTGTTAAAAGTCTTCAGAAATTAGGACTTCCCTGGTGGCACAGTGGTTAAGAATCCACCTGCCAGTGCAGGGGACATGGGTTCGAGCCCTGGTCTGGGAGGATCCCACGTGCCGCGAAGCAACTAAGCCCGTGTGCCACAACTACTGAGGCTGCGCTCTAGAGCCCGCGAGCACAACTACTGAGCCCACGAGCCACAACTACTGAAGCCCGCATGCCTAGAGCCCGTGCTCCGCAACAAGAGAAGCCACTGCAATGAGAAGCCCGCTCACCGCAACGAAGAGTAGCCCTCGCTCGCCGCAACTAGAGAAAGCCCACGTGCAGCCATGAAGACCCAATGCAGCAAAAAAATAAATTAAAAAAAAAAAGTCTTCAGAAATTAAAAATATTTATGCTCCATGTGGCTGTTAAATAACAAGGGTCACGTGAGTGGCAGCACTTTGCCATCAGCGGTGTGTGGGTGAAGGTATCAACCCACTTACCTTTTAGCTCCCCAAACGTATAAAGGCTCTGGGTTCTTCCTTTGTGTTCTCGTGTGGAGACAATGCGCTTTTGCTCTAGAAAATGGCAGGAGTGTCTAGAAAATAGAACAGCACAGTGGAATGTGATGGGGACATAGCTTTGTCACCACGGTGTTACTCTGTCTAAATCTTTCTCCCTCTTTAGCCCACATTATAGTATTTGTCAACCTCGTGGGGTTGTTAAGTGGATCATATAAGAGAAAGTGTGAGACGTTTTTAAGCGTAGTTCTAGTGAAAGATAAAGTGTTTAGCAGAGATTTAATTGATATTTTCATGTTTTATTTTAATAGTTATTTGCTTTCAAAATAAAATCAATGATAAACATTCATTCAGAATATACATATACAATATATAAACATACCATTTTATGAAAGTAACAATATTTATTTAATGTTATTTTTTTCAGAAACTGAAGATAGCTACCATGTAGAAGAGACAGGTGAGATTTTCATTTAATACTATTATTTTTTGCTTAGAATGAGTCTTTTCCTATAAAAGAGCATCATGAGAAAGAGAGATAACATTATTTATTTTAATATATTTTATATCAAATATCACAATACATAGTTAATAATTATTATATAATACATATTATATCACAGGTTTATATATGTGTGTGTGTATATGTATGTATGTATGTGCATATATATACATACACACACACACACACACGCATATATATATATGAATATAGTTTTTGTGCTTTTGAAGTCTACTTCCTGAGGATAAATTCCCAGTAGTGGGATTATTAGGTCAAAAGATAATGTGGGAGTTTGGGATTAGCAGATGCAAGCTAGTATATATAGGATGGATAAAGAACAAGGTCCTACTGTAGAGCACAGGGAACTATATTCAATATCCTGTGATAAACCATAGTGGAAAAGAATACAAAAAAGAATGTGTATATATATGTATAACTGAATCACTTTGCTGTACAGCAGAAATTAACACAACATTGTAAACCAGCTATACGTCAATAAAAATAAATAAAATAGGAAAAAAATAAGACGAAAGATAAGAGAACAAAAGATACACTACTCTATACAAAGTAGGTAACTAATAAGAACCTACTGTATAGCACAGGGAACTCTACTCAATACTCTGTAATGACCTATATGGGGAAAGAATCTAAAGAAAAGAGTGGATATATGTATACGTATAACTGATTCACTTTGCTGTACAGCAGAAACTAACACAACATTGTATTGGGTTGGCCAAAAAGTTCGTTTGGGTTTTTTCATAAGATGTTCCGAAAGAACCTGAACTATAAATCGACTCTACTCCAATAAAAATTAATAAAAAAATGAAAAAAAATGATACTGTATATTTGCGTGTTTTGTAGTCTTAAATTAGCAAGTTAGTGAATGGTCAAAATTGTGTATTGTCACATGTCACGTGTCCCCAGAAGGTATGACCACACTGGAGATGGACACACCATCTTCCCATAAGCCTGTGTTGTTGGCCGGTTTTTCTTCCAGTGTTGGAATAGATCCCTCTTTCTGTGCTTAAGGACCACAGGATATTGTTGGCTAGCATTTACGACCTATATTATTTCAACAATAGGCACCTGTAAACACTAGAATTACATTGCAGTCTGGGGGTACTCCGGTGTTGAGTCCAAGTTACGGGCTGGGAATGTGTGTCCTCACTCAGGCTCACTCAGGCAAGTGCCTGCTGGATGCCTGGGAGGAGGGTTCACCTGCACTGCTCTCTGTGTCTCTGCCTCACTTTTTGTTTTGTGAATATAGTTGAATTTGCATAAGCTAAGTGAGAATATAGCTCCACGATTTTGTGGTTCAATTACACTGATGACGGAGACTTTCTTATTTACCTTTGTATTTGGCATTTAGCACAGTTAGTACCTGTTTGTTTCATGAATGAATGTAAGTTTGAGCATCATTTTGATTTGATTTCTCTCTTTACTAGAAATTGTGCTTATCTTGTTTTAACTATCAAGTGTAATCCTTTTCTGAGACATATTTGTAATTTCCTAATTGTTTCCTAATTTATAGCTTCACCAGCCTACAGTCAGGATATGGAAGACATGATATATGAACAGGAAAATCCAGGTTCGTGATATATGTTTCTGTTTGAGGCAGTGGCCAAGGTCATTTTCAACCAAGGTTTATGATTCACTCTGATACAACATAGAAATCTCTATAATAGTCATTTTTGGCTGCCCATATATTATATACATTTCTGAATATAGTTTAATATTACATGAAGAAATGGGGGAAAAGGGGATGTGTTTTTCAGACCACTGTTGGGATTTTGATCTTTGTAGAGAGGATACTGGAAAGAATATTTGGAAATGAATGAGGCAGTATGATTTAGTGGAGCCAGACTGGGTACAAATCCTGCTCCTTCCTATCTTTGTGACTGGAGAGAAAATTATGGAATGTTATTCAGCTTAAATTTTATTAAATAATAATAATACTGTCTATCTTACACATTTGTGAGGTTTAGAATTAATTTGTAAATATTTTAGAATAGTGTCTAGCAATGTGTTTGGTTTGTTCAGGTTAGGCAAAAATGTATGTTTTTTCTTTTTAGGTTCCAGTGAACCAGTGGTAGATGATGCTGGAAGAATGTATCAGGAAGCAGGTATGGACGTTTTCAATAGATGTTAAACATACTTCCAGCTCTATGGCTGCAATGCTCTGTTAACCTGGTGACTTTTCTTTCGATGGGTGAAAGACATAATTTTAACACCTAATACAAGACTTTCTGCTTTGCAACAAAATTAGATTATTCAAAGAATATCAGGCTTTCATATTTCATCTCATCTACCACCACCTCACAACAAAAGAGGATATTAATTCCTAATGTTACTTTTGAATGTCTTGCTTTATGCCAATCTGAGGAATTTTTTTTGTTTTTGAAAACAATACCTCAGTTTGATTTTATTTTATTTTTTAACGACTTTATGGGAGTGTAATTCCTTTAAAACGGTGTGTTAGGTTCTGTTGTATAACAAAGTGAATCAGCTATACATATACATGTATCTCCATATCCCCTCCCTCTTCTGTCTCTCTCCCACCCTCCCTATCCCACCCCTCTAGGTGGTCACAAAGCACCGAGCTGATCTCCCTGTGCTATGCGGCTGCTTCCCACTAGCTAGCTATTTTACGTTTGGTAGTGTATACATGTCCATGACACTCTCACTTTGTCCCAGCTTACCCTTCCTCCTCCCCGTGTCCTCAAGTCCATTCTCTATGTCTGTGTCTGTATTCCTTTCCTGCCCATAGGTTCTTCAGAACCTTTTTTTTTTTTGGAATTCCATATATATGTGTTAGCATACGATATTGTTAGCATACAGTATTTGTTTTTCTCTTTCTGACTTACTTCACTCTGTTTGACAGTCTCTAGGTCCATCCACCTCACTACAAATAACTCAGTTTCGTTTGTTTTTATGGCTGAGTAATACTGCATTGTATGTATATGCCACATCTTCTTTATCCATTCATCTGTCTATGGACACTTAGGTTGCTTCCAAGTCCTGGCTATTGTAAATAGAGCTGCAATGAACATTGTGGTACATGTCTCTTTTTGAATTATGGTCCTCTCAGGGTATATGCCCAGTAGTGGGATTGCTGGGTTGTATGGTAGTTCTATTTAGTTTTCTAAAGAACCTCCATACTGTTCTCCATAGTGGCTGTATCAATTTACATTCCCACCAACAGTACAAGAGGGTTCCCTTTTCTCCACACCCTCTCCAGCATTTACTGTTTGTAGATTTTTTTTTTTTCTTTTTTTTGCGGTACGCGGGCCTCTCACTGTTGCGGCCTCTCCCGTTGTGGAGCACAGGCTCCGGACGCGCATGCTCAGTGGCCATGGCTCACGGGCCCAGCCACTCCGCGGCACGTGGGATCTTCCCAGACCAGGGCACAGACCTGTATCCCCTGCATCGACAGGCGGACTCTCAACCACTGCGCCACCAGGGAAGCCCTGTAGATTTTGTGATGATGGCCATTCTGACTGGTGTGAGGTGATAACTCATTGTAGTTTTGATTTGCATTTCTCTGATGATTAGTGATGTTGAGCATCCTTTCATGTGTTTGTTGGCAATCTGTATATTTTCTTTAGAGAAATATCTGTTTAGGTCTTCTACCCATTTTTGGATTGGGTTGTTTGTTTTTTGATATTGAGCTGCATGAGCTGCTTGTATATTTTGGGGGATTAATCCTTTCTCAGTTGCTTCGTTTGCAAATATTTTCTCCCATTCTGAGGGTGGGCTTTTCGTCTTGTTTATGGTTTCCTTTGCTGTGCAAAGCTTTTAAGTTTCATTAGGTCTCATTTGTTTATTTTTGTTTTTATTTCCATTTCTCCAGGAGGTAGGTCATAAAGGATCGTGCTGTGATTTATGTCATAGAGTGTTCTGCCTATGTTTTCCTCTAAGAGTTTGATAGTGTTAGGCCTTACATTTAGGTCTTTAATCCTTTTTGACTTTATTTTTGTGTATGGTGTTAGGGCTTGTTCTAATTTCATTCTTTTATGTGTAGCTGTCCAGTTTTTCCAGCACCACTTATTGAAGAGGCTGTCTTTTATCCATTGTATATTCTTGCCTCCTTTTTCAATGATAAGGTGACCATATGTGCATAGGTTTATCTCTGGGCTTTCTATCCTGTTCCACTGATGCATATTTCTGTTTTTGTGCCAGTACCATACTGTTTTGATTACTGTAGATTTGTAGTATAGTCTGAAGTCTGGGAGCCTGATTCTTCCAGCTCTGTTTTAATTTCTCAAGATTGCTCTGGCTATTCGGGGTGTTTTGTGTTTCCATACATATTGTGAAGTTTTTTGTTCTAGTTCTGTGAAAAATGCCATTGGTAGTTTGATAGGGATTGCATTGAATCTGTGGATTGCTTTGGGTAGTAGAGTCATTTTCACAATGTTGATTATTCCAATCCAAGAATGTAGTATATCTCTCCATCTGTTTGTATCATCTTTATTTTCTTTCATCAGTGTCTTATAGTTTTCTGCATACAGGTCTTTTGTCTCCTTAGGTAGGTTTATTCCTAGGTATTTTATTCTTTTTGTTGCAGTGGTCAATGGGAGTGTTTCCTTAATTTCTCTTTCAGATTTCTCATCATTAGTGTATAGGAATGCAAGAGATTTCTGTGCGTGAATTTTGTATCCTGCTACTTTACCAAACTCATTGATTAGCTCTAGTCATTTTCTGGTAACATCTTTAGGATCCTCTATGTATGGTATCATGTCATCTGCAAACAGTGACAGCTTTACTTGTTATTTTGCTATTTGGATTCCTTTTATTTCTTTATCTTCTCTGATTGCTGTGGCTAAACCTTCCAAAACTATGTTGAATAATAGTGGTGAGAGGGGGCAGCCTTGTCTTGTTCCTGATCCTAGTGGAAATGGTTTCAGTTTTTCGCCATTGAGAGCGATGTTGGCTGTGGGTTGTCATATATGTCCTTTATTATGTTGAGGTAAGTTCCCTCTATGCCCGTTTTCTAAAGGGTTTTTATCATAAATGGGTGTTGAATTTTGTCAAAAGTATTCTGCATCCATTGAGATGATCATATGGTTTTTATCTTTCATTTTGTTAATATGGTTTATCACATCAATTGATTTGTGTATATTGAGGAATCCTTGCATTCCTGGGATAAACCCCACTTGATCATGATGTTTGATCCTTTTAATGTGCTGTTGGATTCTGTTTGCTAGTATTTTGTTGAGGATTTTTGCATCTATGTTCATCAGTGATGTTGGCCTGTAGTTTTCTTTTTTTGTGACATCTTTGTCTGGTTTTGGTATCAGGGTGATGGTGGCCTCATAGAATGAGTTTGGGAGTGTTCCTCCCTCTGCTATATTTCGGAACTGTTTGAGAAGGATAGGTGTTAGCTTTTCTCTAAATGTTTGATAAAATTCACCTGTGAAGCCATGTGGTCCTTGGCTTTTGTTTGTTGGAAGATTTTTAATCACAGTTTCAATTTCAGTGCTTGTGATTGGTCTGTTTATATTTTCTATTTCTTCCTGGTTCAGTCTCAGAAGGTTGTGCATTTCTAAGAATTTGTCCATTTCTTCCAGGTTGTCCATTTTATTGCCATATAGTTGCTTGTAGTAATCTCTCATGATCCTTTGTGTTTCTGCAGTGTCAGTTGTTACGTCTCCTTTTTCATTTCTAATTCTATTGATTTGAGTCTTCTCCCTTTTTTTCTTGATGAGTCTGGCTAATGGTTTATCAATTTTGTTTAACTTCTCAACGAACCATCTTTTGGTTTTATTGATCTTTGCTATTGTTTCCTTCCTTTCTTTTGCATTTATTTCTGATCTGATTTTTTTTTTTTTTTTTTT